ATACACACATGTGCATACCAACATACACACATGTGCATACCAACATACACACATGTGCATACCAACATACACACATGTGCATACCAACATACACACATGTGCATACCAACATACACACATGTGCAGACCGACATACATACACATGCATACCAACATGTATAGTGACATACACTCACATTCATACCAGCATATACACACACACATGCATACTGGTATGAATGTTCATACCAGGCTACATACACATACACACATGTGATATAGGTATACATATACATACATATACATGCAAATCTATATATAAACCTATATATGTACAAACATATGCATACAAACATACACTTAAGAATGTCTATGTATGTACACACGAGCATAGCTACATACACACAATCGTACCAGCATGCATAACCATATACAGTACACATGTATGCACACATACTTATCTACATTTAAGTATGTATACCTACTTGTATACCTACATACACATGCACATGTGCATTCACACATGCAAATCACTGTACACACAAGTGAACCCACATACATACATGTGCATGCATGCATACATGTGCTCATTGATGCATATGCACATGTGTGCATGCAGACATGTTTGCATACAAGCATGTACAAGCACACACTCACACAGATATATGCATGCACATATATACAGACATACAAGCATATACACAGGCAATACGTACATAAGTGTACATATGTGCAAATAGTATATGTATATACATACATATGCACATCTATAGATACATGTATACATAGTCACATGTATATATTCATGATTATTGAGTCATGAACTCATATGCAGATGCACATGTATACATATACATGTACACATGTACATATGTACATGTATATATACTTATACTTGCATGCATACATACATGGCACACATGCATGCACATGTGCATACATACACATGGCACATGCATGTGCATACATACACATACACATGCATGCATGCATACATACACATGCATGCATCATACATACACATGCATGCATACATACATACACATGCATGCATACAGATGCATGCATGCATACATACACATGCATGCATGCATACATACACATGCATGCATGCATACATACACATGCATGTGCATGCATACATACACATGCATGCATGCATACATACACATGCATGCATGCATACACCATACACATGCATGCATGCATACATACACATGCATGCATGCATGCATACACATACACATGCATGCATACATATACATACACATGCATGCATGCATATACATACACATGCATGCATACATATACATACACATGCATGCATACATATACATACATATGCATGCATACATACATGCATGCATACATACATGCATGCATACATATACATACACATGCATGCATACATACATACACATGCATGCATACATATACACATATGCATGCATACATATACATACATATGCATGCACATATACATATCATGCATACATATGCATGCATACATATACATACATATGCATGCATGCATGCATACATAACATACACATGCATGCATACATATACATACACATGCATGCATACATATACATGCATACATATACATGCATGCATATACATATGCATGTAGCATGCATACATATACATACATATGCATGCATGCATACATATACATACATATGCATGCATACATATACATACATGCATGCATACATATACATACATATGCATGCATACATATACATACATATGCATGCATACGTATACATACATATGCATGCATACATATACATACATATGCATGCATACATATACATATATATGCATGCATACATATACATACATATGCATGCATACAGCATGCATATATACATATATATGCATGCATACATATACATACATATGCATGCATACATATACATACATATACATGCATACATATACATATATATGCATGCATACATATACATACATATGCATGCATACATATACATACATGCATGCATATACATACATATGCATGCATGCATATACATACATATGCATATATATATATATATATATATATATATATATATATATATATATAATATATATATAATATACATAACATAAACATGCATATACATATATACATGCATATACATACATACATACATACATGCATGCATATACATACATATACATATATAGATATACATATATAGATATACATATATACATATACATATATACATATATATATATATATATATATACATACATACATACATACATACATACATACATTACATCCATACATACAAATATACATATACATACGTTTACATATACATCCATACATACATATACATACATATACATATATACATCCATACATATACATACATACAAACATACATATACATACACATACATACATACATGCATATACTTACATACATGCATATACATGCATACATGCATATACATGCATACATGCATACATGCACATGCATACATATACATGCATACATGCACATGCATACATGCATACATATACATGCATATACATGCATACATGCATACATACATACATGTACATACATGCATACACATACATACATGTACATACATATACGCACATATACACATACATATACATGCAATACATACATATACATACATACAGACATACACACACGTACATACTAATGAATCCCAGCGCTGTTATCAGTGGCATCAGGCCACTGTTGAGTCTGATTAAGATTGTCCATGGGTGTCCATGGCCAAAAAGTCCCATTTCCCGCCCGCATGTTTGGGAAGGGGAAGCTCAGACGCCACAGAGGTTGACTGAGGTGTTGATAAGCGGTTGCACACTCGGCTTGTTAACTGCCAGAAGTGTCGTTATGGTACGAGTGATGGTGGAGATGGTAGAGGGGTGTGTGGTGGCGGCGCTGGTGGTGCTTGTTTATCCGCCTGTAGGGGTCGTATGAATGAGGTTTAGGGTCAGGGTTGGTACGGTGTGGATATATGAGGGGGAAAAAGATCGGGCGAGAAGCACCTACGACACTGGGTGTATTGATTATTTGCAACTTTGAAAGTGATCCCCCACCCCTCTAGGGCCTTATGGGGGTAGGGTGGTAGTGGTGAGGACTTGGGGGAGGGGGGGGGATGAAACTTCATGTTTTGTCTTCGAACCTGTTCAATCTCCTCGATTCTCTTCGAGCAGGAGGGAAGGGCTCCCTAGGGCAGCGCGGGTGCAGACGATGCCGGCACCGTGCCACATGGGGCACCGCCACCTGGCACTGCATAGCTTTCGAATCGCTTATTCTGCGATGGCTATCAGCGGCGTATTGATCATAACCGATGAGACAACCAGGGAAGCCCCTGAAGGACCTGGTTATTTGTTAGTTTTCTCGTAGGGCTTCTGGCCGAGTGAGTGCCAGGGCGTGCCACGACGTGGGTCAGTTCAGTATGCACAGCTGGCCGTGTTCGTAAGCGGCCGTGCTAGGGAGTAGGGAGGCCCAGCAAGAGACAGCGCCACCAAGAAGGGACTTGGTTAATAAGAATGCACGTAGTGCGGAACCTGGCACTAATAACGATTTTAATACAAAAGCTCTTCCGCCGGTGAAAACGGGAAGATTGAAGTGCATTGCTACTGTTAATGTGTGTGTCTTGCGTGAAATAGAGCTACAAAGAAGTGTGATGTGAAGGTGTTGTGTCAATATTATTTTACTATCGGATTTCTGCCAGTGTACAGAGGTAGTTTTCTCTTCAGATCCGAGAGAAGAAGCACCCATTGTAGACATCGCCTAGTTACGGCATGTAGTGTGCTGTGACTCACGCCGAAAAGGGTTGGTCTTGGATTGCAATATTAACTTTTTTCTCTCTTTCATTGTCACTGCTAGCACTCGAGAGCACAATGGAGTCAATACAAGCAGCGGTGAAGGAGCATATTCAGGGGAAACTCCGCGAGATCGGCAGCACCCTGGATGAGGAGCGGCGGGAGCTCAGTGTACGTGTCTGTCTGTTCCGATGTACGGCGCCGCTAGCGATGCTCCCCGCTTCGTTGTATCCGGTTCTTTGGGGGGAAACTACCGTAGACACTTGTACTGGGAGAGTACCGTAGACTGTTTGTCCCAACTTGAACCGGATGAATAACTTTTTGCTACCCTGTCGTATTAAGGATATCTAGTCGCGTATTTTTTGGAAGTAATCTTTGATTTGTAAGTGCTTGTGTACTTGTAACGTGGAGTCGTTGGTTTGTAGTTATATTTTGGTAATGAAGCAAGCCACGTTCGTAGGATTTTGAGTCCCTGTTTTTTGCGAGTATGTTTGAGTTGTAATGCTAGCGTTTGTTGGAGACGTATTCTAGCGTTGTTTTGATTCCGACTTCTCCCCTGAGGCCCAAGTGCTGCGAGGGAGACACCTGCACGCGCGGACCAGGAAGTCCAGCGCTGGCAGGAGTACGTTAGGCCTGACACAGCAGTGACGGCAGGCGAGGAGAAAGTAGTGGGCAGCCAGACGACCCTCCGTGGGGAAGGAGGGGCCCGGCGGGGCTGGAATTTGTTGTTGACTTTCGCCAATTCCTTTTTGAAAATTGTTCTGTATCATTTTCATATGGCTTGAGTGACATTGATTTGTCTATCTATCAATCTATCTGTTAATCTGCCTCTGTCTGTCTGTTTATATATCTATCTATATATATACGTTTATGTATGGCATTATCTATCTATCTATATATATATATATATATATATATATATATATATATATATATATATATATATATATATACGTTTATGTATGGCACTATCTATCTATCTTTCTATCTATCATTCTGTATTTTTTAATGTGGAACATTGGGTTTATATCTGTCTACCTGTCTGTATGTATCTATCTATTTACGAATATGGTTGTTGTTTTTTTCTTTATTTCAGGTCGTCATTTTTTGTTGCTATCGTTCTGAATTGCAAATTTTCTTTGCACATATTGTAAAGCTTTAACAACCAATCGTTATGTATTTACGTGCTCACCTGTCAAAATCTGGGAACATCAGCCAAGTGAGTGACGTGTCAAGGAGTCGAGCCCGGGCTTGTTAAGGATCAAGTGCCTGTGTTTGTCGGCAGATAACGGCGCGGTCGTCTTATCTCGGCCGCCCTGTAAAACGTTTCGGAAATGTTAGTACGCCCGGAGAGAAACTTTAGGGGAACTTTGGTCGAAGATTTGGGGTAGCTTAAGAGAAACTCGAGGGAACTATTTAGCATTAGTTGTGGAGAAGAGTTTAGGGTGACTTGGACGAGCAACTTGGATTAACTTTGGAAAGAGAAACATTGGATAACTTAGGGAGAGGTATGTAATAACTAAAGAAGAGAAGCAGAGGATGATAATATTTAGGAGAGGAATTCGGGAGAATGAAGAGGAAGATAAGCGTTTAGATACGTTAATGCTGGTTAGTTGAAGGTCTAATAGGGAGAGGTAGGGCAGGTGACCAAGGTTGTGGACCTGTTTTTCGATGTGAAATAACTTGGGAGAGGAAGGGAGGGAAGGAAAGAGGAAGGAAGTGGAATTGATGCTTGAAAGTTTATGGGAGCGAGGGGATGGATGGATTGGATAGTTACCGCAAGAATATTGTGAAGAGGATTGAAAAATAAGCTGGGCAATAAATAGAAAATCAATCAAATTTTGATATAAAAACACGTAATAAGACCAAAGCAAACGCAAAGGAACACAAAATATAGACTGAAAAACGTCAGAAGTCGTACATATTAAAATGCAGTAGCGGGGATGTTAAACAGATTACGCAGAAGCACGGTGTGCCTCCAGCTCAGACAACCCCCACCCTCTCCCCTTTGCAGTGAGCGGCAGAAAGAGTACCGCGCCGCCCATACGTAACCGTGCCTTGGGCTGGTCGAGGGAACAATAGCTTGGTTGTTGAGGGCTGGCTCGGATGCAAGTGTGAAGCTCCATAGTTTATTGGCTCGCTCGGCTGAAGGAAGCGTATTGTGATTGTATTGTGTTTCGCCGCGCGGATTTTAGCCAGGGATTATATACAAGGAATTTTGTTGTTGGCGGCTCCGCCGCTTCGGATGGTTGGCGGCTTAGAAGAGGGAAGCCGAATATTTGAGCTGCTTCATGTGATAAATTGAGATATAAAAAAATAAAAAAGTCATTGTCAGGTTAAGTGAAAGAGAGATTTAGAGAAGGTAATTTTAAGGACACTCATCACGCCACCGTCTCCATGAGGCTCAGCAGTATCCATAGATCCCCTTGCGCCACCAGCCAGAGATTCAGGCAGAGAAGCAGGTGAACGGGAGTCGCGGCGCCAGAATCCCCTGCGGCAGCGTCATAAACTTGATGGCGACTCGTCCGTCTCAAAACTTGCCACAAACCTACTGTACTGTGTGCTTCTGCTCCTTCCGAGGCCGGCGTTGTCTGACCGCTCGAGATCCCTGAACCACCCACCACCCTTTCCCTCCCTGTATACTTCTCTCTCACCCAGCTCCCCCGTTCTTCCTTCATAAACTTGATGGCGACTCGTCCGTCTCCCGCTCGCTCACGCACTCCAGAGGTCACCCACAAACCTACTGTACTGTGTGCTCTGCTCCTTCCGAGGCCGGCGTTTAACTACCTGCTGAATTGCCGTAACCCCCCCCCCTCCCTCTCCTTTCCTCCCCTCTCATACTCTCTCTCCCCACTCTCTCCCTACTTCCTCACACCACTCTCTCCCCCTCCCTCTCCCTCCTCACCTCTCCCCTCTCCCTCCTCTTTGCCTTCTCTATCCCCTTTCACCTCCACTTCCAAGCGTTTTCATGTTCTTCCATCTCCCCTTTTATGGCCGTCGTCTCTTACCTTCGCTATCTATGAATAGGTCATGTTTAGACCATTTTCTTTTTCTTTCTTTTTCCCTTCCTTACCCCCATGTTCTCTTCCCTCTCCTTTTCCCTCTCCCCTTCTCTTCTCTATATTATACCCTTTTTTTCTCCTTTTACCTTTGAAGTTCTCATTAGGAGCCATCCTAGACCACATGCATGTGCGAGGACTGGTCTATTTGATCCATATCACTTTAATTCCCATTTTTTATGACCGCAATGAATTTAATCCCAGTTTAAGTGATAATGCTAATTATTAAAACGAGCGATGGCCATGTTTAACCCTTCATTATCTTAATTACTAGCTGTCGTGTATGATATTACTGTATTATTTCGACATCGTCATCGTCATTATCGTCATTAATAGTTAAATTGTTGGAAGAGTATGCGCCATTTGCCTCGTGTCCGAAGACAGATCAGTTTGATTCAAATCTCATTAATTATGATTACGATGGCCTTAGTGCTAGTTAAAAAAGATCAATCCTGTAATTATCGGAATTATCATAATCCTTTGTGGTGTTAATTTTGAGTTACTGGATAATCGTCGTTCTTTATCTTCCGGAGAGAGCGAACGACTTTTGTCTCCTTACGGAAGCCCATCAAGCAATGCAAAGTCTCTCAGAGCCGAGATCGCGTTACGGGTCATCCTTCTTGTTCTTTCCCCTTCCTCCTTTTATCTTCTCCTACCTCCCCCTTCCCCCCTTTTCTCCCTCTCCCGTCTTCCCTTTCCCCCCTTTCTCCACGCTCACTTCTCCCTCCCATTTGGTTTTGCTTCCCTCTCCTGCCATCCTTCCCCAGCCCCCTCCCATCCCCCTTCTCTCTCTCCCTCTCTCCCTCCCCCTTTCCTTCCCCTCCCCTTTCCTCCTCCTCCCTCTCCATCCCCTTCTCCCTCTCCATCCCTTCTCCCTCTCCCTTCCCCCTTCTCCCTCTCCCCTTCCCCCGTAATGACACCTCAGAAGACATTAAGAGGCTTTGGGGGCCTCCTCGCCATGCTTCTCACTAGCCCTGTCCGTCTGTGACTCGTGTCTAAATATTGTCTTTTCGAGGGGAGACAGGGAGGGTTCTGCGTCGGTCGATGTTGTCTTCCGGTTGGTCTTTTGATTGGTGTCATTCTTTCGTTTTTTTCTGCTTCGGAATCTTTTTTTATTTGGGGGTTTGATTTTGCTTTCTCTGTCGTGTATTTTTGTCGTTTTGATTCCTCTTCCTTTTCTTCTCGTCGTCGTCGTCGTCATCATTTTTTTATAATTACCATCAATTTCACTATTTCAGCCCCCCCCCCTTCTCTATCACTCCCCCTCTCTTGTCTCTCATTCACTGCTATTCATTCTCTTTGTCTTCTTTAACCTCATCCTCCCCTTCCCAATTCACTTCAGTTTCCTTTTGTGTCGCAAGCGTTGACTCATGGCCAGCCCACGTGATAGACTCTCACTGTGAAGCAGAGAGGAAAGAAGGGAGAGGGAAGAGGAGATGAGAAAGATGATATGAGGAGAGATAGGAGAGGGGAGGGCGAAGAGAAAAAAGAAATGGAAAAGAACAGAGAGAAGAAAGAAAAGGAAGGAGGAAAGGGAAGTTGATGAGGAGTATATGTAAGAATATACAAGATGCATTATTTTTTAAAGGATTGAAGTCCAGCAAGAGCATTAGGGGCAAGGAGGAGACATAATGAAATTGATTCCGTGGTTTCATTCATGTTTATACACAGTCCCGTGCCGATTTTAATAGCTTGTTATTATGCCTGAAGGTGATTGTTTAGGGATGTGGAAATGCCACTTTTTATTTTTTCGGTCTATTTATGGTGTGCTATCACATGACTACACATTTTTTTTCGAAACTGGAAGTGAGGGCTTACATTAATACATTAATTAATACATTATATTCCTTTTATGTGATGATGGTGTCACGGATGAATCACAATTTTTTCTTTGTATTGTGTTTAGGTTTCTGTCCAACGGAGATTTTCGAAAGATGAATATTTGATCTAGATGGGTGGAAGAGTAGATTTTGAGATTTTGTGACGGCGATTTGTGCCTCTTTGTATTAAAATCGTTCACACTTGGCTTGCGTGTAGAGAGCGGTAAATCAGCACGTCCTTTCTCTCGCGAGCTGCGGATTCGCTTCGGATCTTTAATCTTGTTGGATTTACAACAGCCCTCGTGATTTGGAGGCGTCGGTGAGTTTACCAGGTTTTATTTTTTGTCTTTCTGCAGGTGGATGTATAGGCATTTTCTTGTGCGTTAGATCTGTCTTGATTCTGACTTTGTTTTTAGTGGATTCGCGCTTTCGTTTTGCAGCGCGAGTTACGTTCCTTATCGTGGCACTTTTGTTTGTTTACTCGCCTACGCGGTTGGCCATGAGGACGTTGGATGTTGTTTTCACGTAGACCGGAAAGGGTTTTTTTGAATTAATTTCCAAGGTTCAAAGTCGTTAGTGTGCGGCTTATTTTAGCAAGTGTTTTTGATACGGGAAGCAGGGGGTGCATGTGTGACGGACACGTGTTTTGAGTTAGGGGCAGGTGCAGGTGTGGGAGGCAGCAAGCCGGTGTATGTAGGTTGAGTGGTGAAAGTATAGTCGGGGCTCCAGGGAATGTTTACTCTCGGCGGGCGGGTCTGCAACGCCTTGCCGTACATTGGCTGGAACCCATTAACCGCGTCGCGTTCCTTTCGGGCTTGAGGCTTCTTGCATTTACTGGTAGATTGATTGATCTTCGTTTTCATATTTCATTTATATGAAAGCAAGCATGCGCGCACATGCACGCTCACGCTCACGCACATGTACATGTTTTATGTATATGGACATATACATGCACACACAGGAAAACACACAGACACAACACAGACACACACACAGACACACACACACACACACACAGACACAGACACACACACACACACACAGACACAGACACAGACACACACACACACACACACACACACACACACACACACACACACACACACACAACACACACACACACACACACACACACACACACACACACACACAACACACACACACACACATATATATATATATAATATAATATATATATATATATATATATATATAATATATATATAAATATATATATATAATAAATAAATAATATATATATATATATATATATATATATATAATATATATAATATATATATAATATATATATATATATATATATATATATATAAATATATATAATAAATATATATATATATAATATATATATATATATATATATATATATTATATATATAATATATATATAATATAAATATATATATATATATATAT